GAAAATAATTTTTAGTCTAACATTCAAAAAAATTCATAGAATCAATCTATTTCAACAATACTTATGATTTGTACAAGATATTTCTATAGGTATAACGTCAATCATCGGATCCCAATTGGTTTCCATTTAGAAACAATGCTAGACATTGTTCTCTCTTTAAGCAAAGTAGTCAGTTTCGCCATCTCCATCAGTTCCATTAATTTTAATATCCATTCTTCAGCTGTAGGTATTTGTAAATCCTTCCATTTTTGCGCTTATAAAAATCTCGCTGCAGTTATCATATAGAGAAATACATTTTTGTGTTGTCTTTCCGTTTGTTTATCCATCACCCCAGAGTCACCCATTGGGGGAGATGGGCGGCATACAAATTTAATAATAAATAAATAAATAAAAATCATACCTAAAAGGAAGGTCTCTGGTTTCAATTGCAAATCATCACCCCAGAGTCACCCATTGGGGGAGATGGGCGGCATACAAATTTAATAATAAATAAATAAATAAAAATCATACCTAAAAGGAAGGTCTCTGGTTTCAATTGCAAATCCATTTTCAGAATCTTTTGAATCAGAATACATACCATGTCCCAATATTTCTTAGCTTTTTCACAAGTCTATCATAGATGACAGAATGTACCTTCACCTTGATTACATTTCCAACAAACATTCGAAGTTCCTTTATGCATCTTTGACAATTTAACTGGTGTCAAATACCAACAGTACATCATTTTATAAAAATTTTCTTTTAATGTATAATCAAGAATGAACTTTAACCCTTTATTCCACATATTTTCCCACTGATTCAGCGTTATGTTATATCCAAAGTTCTTTGCCCATTTCACATACAGTCTTTAACATATTCATCTTCCAAATTCATCTTTAACAAAAGTTAATACATTTTAGCAATGCTCTATTTTAAATATCCTTTGATTGACATAAGGTGGCCTGTTTAAAGAGAGGTAATCTCCCCATTTTTATCCCCTTCTTTAAAAAAACAAAGGGGAAAGCAGCTAAAGAGGACCTGTTATATTGGAGAGAGATGTTTCTGGTTCAGTGAGAGCTAGATTCAGATTATAAACCATATCTCAGCCTAATGTAATCTATGTAATCTTAGGTGTGGGTGGGTTTGCACACTATGCTAATTCACAATTTATTATTATTATGGTTGGTCGCACAGTCAGCCAGATGTTTAGACTGGATTTGGCGTTTTTACCCACCTATCGAG